GAGGCTTTCTACTCCCTAGTTACAGTCTTGAAAACTCACAAGAAAGTTTTACCCTGCCCTAAAGGGTCACTATGAATCAGATGGCAGTGAGTTTGGTTTTTTAAACAAGGTCTACATCTTCCATATGTATTATGCAATTCAATAAATTTACTTTTGTACACATACATAGCCTCCTTTCCACCACAATTTGCATTTCTCTTCTGTATCAAAAAACAGATTATTCCTAAAGGTTTCCTCCCCGCTCCCACTACCATGACTCGAATTCTATCTTGCAAGACTGGCTAGACCAGAGGAGGTACACTGGTACAGATAGGAACTGAAAATACAGGGAATCCAGGATGGATGAGCCCTATAGGACCAGTGGTGTGAGTGGCAAAACAGGGAGGGTAAAGGGAGAATGGGTAGGAAAGAGGGAACCGATTACATGGAACTGTGTGTGACCTCCTCCCTGGGGGACAGACAACCGAAAAGTGGGTGAAGGGAGAAGTCGGACAGGGCAAGATATGACAAAATACCCATTTATAAACTATCAAGGGCTCATGTGGGAGAGGGGAGCGGGGAGGGAGGGGAAAAATGAGGACCTAATGTCGGGGGTTTAAATGGAGAGAAAATGTTTTGAGAAATGATGTACAAATACGCTTTACACAATTGATGTGTGTATGGATTGGGATAACAGTTGTATGAGCCCCTAATAAAATGTTTATAAAAAAATAAAAAAAAAAAAAAAAAAAAATTTTAAAAAAAAAAAAAAAAAAAAAAAAAACAGATTATTGATAACGTTAGAAGGTTCTCAGCCTTTTTTCAGCCACACTCACTTAAGAAATAAAAAGCACACTCCTACTAGTAGCAATGGCTCACTAGCAAACTTTTGGGGTTGGGGAGTAAGAGGAGTAAGAGGAAATGCATAATATGGGGGGGGGGATCCAAATAGTTCTGATATTTGTGTCCATATCCTCCACCCCACTGATAACTGGGATACAGAGAAGAGCGGTGCCATGATTTTTTAAAGTAAATGTACCACACCTGAGGTGTCATAGTAGGTTTCAAGTTGGGCTGCAAATCTCAAGGTCAGCAATTCGAAATTCAAGCCTCGGGAACCCAATGGGGCAATTCTACTCTGTCTTCTAGGGTTGCTGTGAGTCAGAATCAACCTGGTGGCAGTTAGTTTTGAGACTTGGAGATAGTGTTTACCAGTCAGAATCCCCTCGTAAAACCTTGCATCTCTATAATGGGATTTCCATTACAGAGAGTTTCTAACTAGAATTAATTTTGGCATGCACTAGAGACTTGTTGAATTTAGAATATGCAGGTAAGAAAATGGCATCGCAAACAATTGTCAAACTTAATATTTTGAGGAATACAGACATGTATGGGGGAGCGGGAAATAGACTGCCTAATTTCCCTAGTTCTTATTTAAACACACTAAACTGTGTAAGGAGGGGATAAGTTTCTTGAATATATTTTTGGCTGTACTATGTCTATCACAACAACACAGTCTGTAACCAGATTTTTCCTGCGTGTTTATAAAGAATGATGGTTTCTATTTTTGAGGCTATTTAGAAAACAAGAAAGCTCAGAATTTCATTTCAAATATACAAATAATACTAAGCCCAAACTTCAAGTTAACTGAATGTTTCCCTAAAAATTTCCCAGGAAAATCCCCAAAAATTATACCCAAAAAGCACCAAAAGATGACACTTTGTTATACTCAAACAATTGGGAAAGTAATATAGAAAGTAAATTAACTGTAAAAAGGAGAATGTTGATATACAAGTTCTGCTTAATTCTATTAACTCTTTCTTATTATGGCCCACTGTTGTTAACACAGAGGAGCCCTGGCAGCACCGTGGTTAAGCTCTAGACTCCTAACCAAAAAAATTGGTGGTTAGTACCCACCAGCCACACCATATCAAAAAGAGGTGTTTATCTGTGTGCATAAAGATTACAGCCTTGGAAACCCTATGAGGCTATCTACTCTGCCTTTTGGGTCACTAAGAGTTGGAATTGACTCAATAGCAATGAGTGGTTATTCACACATTTATACTAGATTTCAGACACAACCTCAAATGAAGTGAAAATTATTTCCCACCCTAAAGAACACTGGAGAGTCAGGTCAAGTAATCTCTTTCTCCATACTCTCAACTTTAAAACTTCCTTTAAAAATTTAGTCTCTTACTATATATAACTCAGTCTCAAGACTACACTCTTTCTGCCCTCCAGTGTTTATGGTGGCAAATGCTCATCTGACTATCTCCATAAGAACTCCACGAGCTGTCTTAGAAGAGTCAGCAGCTGGAACAGCCTTGAGCACTAATCATCCTCAGACCCCAAAAATGACCTATTTATATAAAGCAAGAATTGTTTACATATAGTAATCCATTAAAACTTGTGCAACCTAAGTAAACAATCTCTGTGCCTGGAAATCCTATAAGGTACCAAAAAGAACAAAACTCACTGCCATCAAGTTGATGCTGACTCATAACGATCCTATACAGCAGGGTAAAACTGCCCCTTTAGATTTCTAAGACTGTAACTGCGGGAGTAGAAAGCCCAGCCTTTCTCCCAAGAAGCAGCTTCAAACTACTAATCTTGCAGTATATACTATAGCCTCGAAATACTCTCTTATCCAGCCATAATCATCCCACAAAACCATCCCACAACACTTCAACAAGACCATGGTAGGCTGGAATGAAAGTGCCAGTTTGCAATTTGCAGACTACTCTCTTCAATCTCTAGAAGCCTGGCTGCTGCCCACGTAATATTTTTACTTGACACAACACAATTCCTGTTTCTGACTATCCCAAGAGATTGGATAAAAGTACTTTCAGTTTGACTACTTTATCATCTCAAAGCTTACGTAAATATTAATTCAGTTAATTCAAGTTGGGTGAAGGCAAAGAGAAAATTGAAGTACAAGTTTTTATTCATTATAAATGTAGAATTAGCATGCTGATAAGCATAAAAAGCCCAGCTAATGAAGTTCTACCATCCAAGTAAAAGACATCACAATAACACAATAATGTAAATCATAAAACAATTACCGGAGAAACAAAAATTTTCCAGAACATTACAACTGTTATATATGGGAATTCACATCAAATAACTTTGGTCAATTTTTTTTCATATATTATACTCATTGCTTTGTTCTGTTAGTTAGTATACTGCTTTTATGTACCAACAGAACTAAGACTTACTACCTTGTATCCAGCTGTACAGTATAGGCGCTCTAGTGGCAGAATGGTTACATGTTGGGCTGCTAATTGCAATGTTAGTAGTTTGAAACCACCAGCTGATCTGTGGTAGAAAGATGAAGCTATATACTCCCACAGTCTTGGAAACCCACAGGGCTAGTTCTAGCCTGTCCTGTACAATTACCATGAATCAGAATGGGCTCGATGGCAGTGAATTTGATTTTGTCAACAGGCTATATAAATATGCTCACAGATAAGGAGTGCCCCTACATAGCTGCTACTCCCGGATGACTTACTAATACATAATATCAAAGAACATCTTGAATTAATTTAGCACAAACACCAATATAACTCAGTGTCTTTGTCAAGTCTTCATGTAAGTGGACATTCATGACAAGGTAATGATAATATACACATTAAATTGATCTAATCTTATTCCTTTGCAATTTCATTGTCAATTTCACATGGAACTCTCCCCTGAGATAATGAATCATACCAATTTTCCAATCCTAGTGGCTTGTGGACATAAATTTTCCATAAGCAAAATTCACTTCCAATTTGACCACAAGCAAACTTTATGCTATCTTCTGACTTCACAGCTGCTGGGTATTCTAGAAAAGTGGAATAAAAGTCAGCTAAAAACTTTTCTTGAAAAAAGTCATAGGTTTTCATAAAACGGTGTGTTCAAAAAATGTAACAAGCAACCATGTGCCAGGAGACATATTAAAAATCCCTAAAACTTTCCAGAACCAAAAATACAGGCCATAGAATCAGTTTCCAAAGTTGCACCGAAATCTTTCTAGCAAGGCAAGGCAAAAAGTTCTCCTCATTATTAAGTGTAATGAGGTGGTGTTCTCTTCCCTCGCATTAAACACCCAATATTCTGAAAGTAACTTCCAAAATTTTAGCATTTTCTATCTGACAAGCTCAAAGGAACACGCAGACACCTGAACATACTATCGTGACACCAGAAACCGAACCCGGACGGTCCAGCGCGCCTCGCGCCCAGCCATCTCCGGCAGATCGGTGGCCCCATTCCACATGCTGACGCACTGCCCGGCTCTGCACCGTTGGCGACCAGAGCAAAGTACTAGCCCAGTCTCAGAAACTTTGACTCAGTTATCAGGACACTGAGCACCCACAACTTGGGCGAGGGTGTTTGTCACGGCCCACGCGAGCAACTTCGAAACGCGGCACTCCTTGCAGGTAGAGATCGGTCCAGAATGCAGCCCATCCCAGACTGCAAAACCACAAGCATCCACGGCGGGAGCGGAGCAAAGTGCCCTGCGGGGGAAGGAGGAGCGGGAGGGCGAGCCACGGTCACGACCGAAGCCTGCGTGTGGGTAAAAAACATACTCTCACCACACGCCCCCCGGACGCGGGGCTGCTGAGACTGCGAAGCCGGCAGCAGCGGAGGCAGCGGGGAGGGCGACGGCAATGTCAAGAGGGCACAGCTGGGGGCGGCGGCCGCAGAAGCCACCATCCGGCCCCCAGGTAAGGGGCGCCAATCGCGCCCTCCCGCCGGCCGTCTAAGGCGCCCGCGCTCCCGGACCGTGAGGAGCGGCCACCGGGGAGGAGAGCCCGAACCTTGGCGTCGGGGAGGTGGCCCGCAACCCCAAACCCTCCCTTTGCCCTCTTCCAAACGACCCTCCAACACCCCAGTCCAGGGCCGGGCCCCATCCCTACCCGCCGGGGCTCAGCCCACCGCCAACACCCCCCGCGCCGCCCACCCACCCCCTCCCAGGCCTGTGGCTCGGGGCCTCCGGGCAGCCCTCCGGTCCCCAGGAGGCCGCCCTCGCCTCGCCTCACCTCCTCCCGTCTCAGTTAGGAAAGCCGGAACAACAACTCGGTCAGACACTCGCTTCGCATCCGCCGCCTGGCGCTCTGTGGCCGGGCTGGTCCCGTTTGCTCCCTCACCGCCGGAGCACTGAAAGGGCGGGGGGAGCACGGAGCAGGGAGGGGAGGGGAGGGGGATGGCCCGGCAGGAAGAGAAGGAGGGGGTTGGCCGAGGGGGAGGAGGTGGAGGAGGCGGCGGCAGCGGCAGAGGCGACGAGTTGGGAGCGAGCACGTCCGGGCCCCTCTGCTCTGCGTGCGCGCTCCTGAGGCGGAGGCGCCTTCCTTGTCCCTCGGCGGTGGCGCGCACGCGCGTACATATTGCAACACACACACCCCACTTTCTCCCCAACCCCGCCCGCTCCGCCGGGTCCGGGCACAGGAGCGTGAGGATGTCGCTGGTCCAGCTTGCTTTCCATGACAGTTCAGGGTTGTTCGAAGAGGGATATAGGGATCAAGGGTTCTAGAGACCCTTCAGAGCCTCTCCCTAGGGGTAACTGACCGTGTGAGCTCTCTTACTAAGCGGTGTCCCGAGTCCCCGACTGGAGTCTTTGAGTTCGTAGATCATTCCGAGTTTGGAGAGATTATGTTCTTGCCCATAAACCTGAGATAGGTAATTTCAGCCCTAATGCCTTGTAATCCGGAGTGAAGTCACCATAAAGTGTATTTCCTTTTCTCGCCAATTGCTCTTTCTGTACCACTTCCAAGGAGTAGTCTATGTTTCTGAAGCGCTCCCTCGATGATTCGGTCCATGAGACTCTAGAGTCTAGATGTTAGAGGGACATAACCTGTGAGGGCACGTTCAGTACTGAGCACTAGTATGTATTGACCCTGGTTTATCCTTTGGGGTAACAGGTTTTTAGGGTACAAACTAGTAACCCAATAAGGCGGAATACAGCTGTCCCTTTTAAGTTTAAAAGTTATACATCTTTAAGGGAACCTCATCTTTCTAGGGAAAAAGCAACACGCTTGGTGAATTCAAGGGACAGTGAAAAAGAGGAAGATCCTCAATTAGATGAATTGACTCAGTGGTTGTAACCAAGGGCTCAATAAAAGTGGGGGTGGAGGGAAGTTAGCTATTATCCAGTTAGATTCTGAATTATCCTGGTGTTATAGAACTACGTGGGTTTTTGGGCCACCAACAACAATCTTTACAGAAGTGGCCAGGGCTTTCTTCCAAAAAAGTTTTCTCTACTGACGATATCTTTGGTCCCAGATTTTGCTGCCATTTCACTCGCCCACTACCCTAAAGTTGATTCCAGCTCATAGTGACCCAATGGAGAACAGAGTAGAACTGCCCCTTGGGTTTCCAAGACTGTATAAAGCTTTACAGGAGTAGAAAGCCTCATCTTTCTTCTGAGAGACTGGTATTTTCAAACTAATGACTGGCAGTACAGCAGTCCTGGTGACAGCAACGTACTGGTTACACCCTCGGTTGCTAACTGTAAGGTCAGAGGTTCAAAACTGCCAACCTGGGGGAGAGGGAGGAAAGGGGAAAGAAAAAAAAGGATATGTGACTGAGGAATAAGGCACTGACTCACCCAAGGGGAGGGTATTGTTTGTGTCTCTACAGGGAAAAAGGGACCAGATTTAAACCCAGTGCCAGATGAATGCAGCTTGCCAGCAAGGAGTGGGGAACCAGTGGAGGGGCCTGAGGGCTCGGCCCCCATACCAGCTATGTGGACAACTTCCCCTCCCCCAAGAAGAATTTATTTGAGAGGACGGCACTGAAACTGCAGCTAGGGGAGAGGGGCATGTCTGATCAGAGCAAATGGGAGCACATAGGGGGAGGAAGAGAGAGTGGAGCACATCCTGACCCACCGGGCCTGGAGGATTACATCCCCGCTCTGAACAACCAATGGACAGAGTGGACAATATGGCTGATCCCACCATGAGACATGCTGTCCCTTAATGGCCCGGGGCCCTAAGGGGGATAACACTGGAGACTCAGTGTCGGGACTGGCCCAAACTGACCCTGAGACACCATGGCAAACCACTAAAAGCATGCGGCAGAGCAACTGTGGAGCAGAGAGACCCCCGAGGGAGTACAAAGGACAGACTCTGGGGCCAGAGCATGGTACCCCATGAAGGACAAGCCTAGAGATCAAAAGTCAGACCTTGATCTATTTACAGGTTTTTCTTTCTGTTTAAAATTTTTTTCTTTTCATTAATTTATTCTTCTTTGGGTAATTGGTTTCCTTATTTGTTGCCATCGTTGTGTTCTCACTGATCACCTATCTTGCTATGGCTTAGTTTTTGACGCATATTATTATCTCTACAGATCTATCTAGACAAAATAGACTGGATGAATAGTCTGGAGGAGAAAACAATGGGACCAATGGTTCCGAGGGGACATGGGAGAGAGGGAGGCGGGGGTAAGGAGGTGGTGCTGACCAACCCAGGGACAGGGGAGCAACAAATAATCCAAAATCAGTGGCAAGGAGGGTATGAGAGGCCTGGTAGGGATTCAGCAAGGCCAATGTAATGGATAGAGATCACTGAAACCCAGATGAAAGCTGACCATGATAGTGGGACAAGAGGAAAGTAAAAGGAAAGAGAGGAAAGAGATAGGTGACAAAGGGTATTTATAGAGATTTTAAGACTGGAATGTACATATGTAAATATATTTATATAAGAGTGTGGGGAAAAAGATCTACGTGCATATATTTATAGGCTTAGTATTAAGGCAGCAGATGGACATTGGGCCTTCACTCAAGCACTTACACAATGCAAGAACACGTTGTTCTATTAAATTGGCATTCCAGGATGCACACCTTCCCGTCATGATTGCTGAATAAAATTGTGTGCATAAGCAAAGGTGGTGAAGAAAGCTGATGGTGCCCATCTATCAAAAGATATAGCATCTGGGGTCTTAAAGGCGTGAAGACAAAGAAGCGGCCATCTAGCTGAGAAGCATCAAAGCCCACATGGAAGAAGCACACCAGCCTGTCTGACCACGAGGTGCATAAGGGACCAGTTATCAGACA